GTATTGAAAAAGACTGAATACCTACAATATCTATTATTTCATCATACAAATATTGAGCACTCATCTCGATTCGCCAGCGTGGGTGATATATTATTATTATTGTGATACACTTGAGAAACAACGATTTTGTATAATAACGAGAATACAATATGAAAATATATTTTTGCATGTAATAAGTGCCCATTATTTTCAAAATTATAATATAAAATCATTATATTTGTATCGATTTTATTGAGACCGCACATGATTATACGTCTTCTTCAACGTTTTTTGGTCGTTTTTTTTATGCAAATTCAAACTCTCAAAGTAAGTAATTGAAAAACTACCTCTTCAAAATACCGTCTAGACGAGATTTTTCATAAACGAATGCACTACTAAGGTCTTTTGGAGCTCTCGTCCTACTCGAAAAAAGCAAACCATATTAAAAATATCTCTTCTTGGAATCACATAAAACAACRCAAATCGTTGTAAGCATCGTTCTGCTAACGGAAAAGAGTCAATAYCGTATTTTACAACACATATTATGTATAAAACAGTATGGCTATTAATGCTGCTTTAAATCATGATTTATATATACATACTTTGGTCGCATCGTCTGTGATTTTCGTGTGCTCCGCGATGAATCGAATGCAGAAACACGACTTGTGCATGGCTGGAGGACAGGACGAATGCAGAAATCCGGGGCTTCTGAGCAGGATCGAGCTCTTGCTACAGTCAGTTGCCATTTCGGTGACGGATATTTCGTCGGAAATCAGACTCTGCGCCACCCCGTGTATCTGACAGCTACCCCCTTCGCCGTCACTGTAGTGTATTAATAAAACAACGAAAGACTTATAATATTTTGGTTTATTAATTTATTCAGTAAATTGTCTACACATACAATTAACACATTGTCCTAACTCCTAAGATAACAACTTAATATAAGAGCAACTAAAACCAACAAAATAAATTTTATTACGAGCTCTATTCATGAGATTCATATATAGCTAATAAAAGGTACCTACTCTGGTTTCGAAATAGCTACAGAGAAATTCGTCGACGGYGAATTGAGAGTCAACAGAAATTTCGTAAAGAGAATGCATGCAATAAAAGTTTATCGGGCTTTTATTTTTCGAAAAGCAATAAAATTGAGTGCTCTGCTACCGTAACGGTAATCAAAATTATAATGTAACATTCCCATGTTTGCGTCATTTCGTTTATATTATTATACAACACCAAAGAATAATAAAAATATTTTGCTTTTAAATAATTCAAAGAGGTTACTCAGCTACATATGTATACATTAATATGGTTGCACCGAACGTGGTCGTTATTATTATTATCATCAGGATTTATTGTTATAATTAAATTACCACGTATTGATGAGCTTAAAGCACTCAAAGTATGAATATTGTATGCGAATAATTTATTAAAGATGAGGTGCATCAAAAATTCAATTTCACTGTTAATAAGTAGAAAGAAAAGCAAACGTGGTTAATTATTTTAGTAAGTTGTGAAATGTCTATTCCAAAATCTTATAGTTTTGCCTTGTGSRAACAATGGTAAAAACGTTTAAGCATTAATAATATACTTTGGACGTATGAAAAAAGATGCGGAATCACAAAAATAACTCGAACACTTGAATGGCTATCTCTTCAGGGATATTACTCTCTTATGAAAGTGATAAAATAACACTATATTTCACTTYGTCGTGCTTCAGAGTTGTACGGAATATTATAGTTTTGATGTGAAAATGTTTTAAGTGATATTAAAAATTAATATAGATTGAAATATTGGAGCACATAATCTATACACACATATATGATACATCCCAGACGTGGAATTGCCATATTCACGAGACCTGAAMTTTTCGCCCATTTTATGAAACAAGCAATCGACCTGCACAATTTATGAACTGGTGATATCCAGAACCGGACTACGACAAATGACGCTCAATTTATTAACTGTTAGTTTTAGAACACTTGTGCGATATAAGGCCTAATAAATTATACCCAACTTAAACTTTTATGTATTATTTAGTATTTCTTATAAAATGGTTTAAAATAGTTCAAGTTATATTTTCTGCATACTAGAGGATTTTCAATTTAAAATGATCGCAGGTTCATCTGATACCAAACAATTATTACTTCATAAAMAAAATAATTATTTATTTAAACGTTAAATATACGTAATATTACAAAGAATAGCAGAGAAATAGTTCCAATAGGTCAAAGATATTGTTTCTATGTTAATTGATACTAAAAGGTGGGCAATAAAAACATCTGAATTTGATTTTCGTGCAGTTACTTAATATGTAGATTAAAATTATATTATATATATTAGTGATTTTATAATTTTAATTTTAACAATCAAAAAAAGAAAATTAAATCTATGTACATKTATTTTCCAAATAATCTATTATTCCAAATTTATTTTTAAAATGTTTTATTCTGGGTTGATGGGTATATTTTACGAAATTGTATAGCGAAAAATGTATAGACATGTTAATCGAACATCGCAATAATAATCATAAGAATTAAAGATAAACTATATTATCTAGGTATCTAAGACTAAGGATTTGAAGTATAAGTTTTTAGTATAAACTCCCTGAACAGTAGACTTTTATTGAAAATTATACAATTTTTTTTTTATTTAAACATAATATATTATTATTTACTAATATGAWTTTTTAAAAATTTGATATTTTGCAGAAAGAATAATATATAAACCTTTTATCATTAGTTCTAAATAATAGACAATATTTTATAAAATCGTAATAATTTTTTATTAAAGTGATTTTTAACACTAAGTTTTAGTACAAAATACGTGGGTTGATATATTTTTAACGGTATTCTTAATTTTTTTTTTCAGTTTAATATTATATTTTACGTTTTTCATCACGTTGTATTTGTTYACATCATGCGCAATAGTGAAAAATGTCTCTATGAATAAATACATCATTCGCAAACACCTAAAGCCATATTTTACGAAATAATTAAATGTACATATTAAACGAAATGTTCAAAATAATATATTGGGATCGTTTCGCAGATAAAGTTGGACGAATGTGTAGGGGTGTAACGTAGATAACATATACATTACATATATATTGTGTATACTGTATACAGCATTTCTGACCTGGATAAGTCTTCTTTGGACGTTTCTCTGGTGGCTTTTGACACGCTGCTGTCGTCTGTTTGTCGACGACCTTTATCTCTTCCGKGCTCTGTGCTGTCGTAGCCACAGCCAGCCTGGAAGAAACACGGATGTATGTCTCTGCCCTTCAGCATTATCGAACCGGCGTTGAATCTATTCACAAAACATTTTATTAGCACAGGATCGTTACAGTCTTGAAAGTATCTATCTCGAGAAAAACATGTTAAGAAATGTATTATATTTTTTTCATTTACGTAGTTATAAACATGTTTATTGAAATATTCATTGTAACATTCATTGACACAACATATTATTGTACAGACTGATTTAATAAATTGTGTTCTAAACTCAAACATAAAACATTAACTTATCGGATTAACAACATAATACTAAAATTTTCTTTTGTCAACAATGAATTAGGGACGATCMTTATTGCAAAACGACGATTTTGATAGTATTATATTATAATAAATATTGCTCTTTCYAATTATTTTTCATCATTTAATTCCTATCGATTGTTTTATAAGATATCGATTCTAAAGGGCACTGACAATTTTTTGTAAATTAAATACAATATTTAAAAAWTTTCTCAACTGGAATATAGTGTAACTATATTGCCTATTTGTTACGCCGTGTTAAAAATACAAGTGGGAAGTATAACAATAATATTATAAATATTACAGATACATGGCGTAAGATGACATTGTATTGTAATTAATCTAATAGTTCTTGTAAAAAAWKTAATCATCTGTAAAAATATAAGATCATGAGTTCTTAGTTTTAATAAGTTGTAGTTTTATGAGTGTATACGTAAATGCATACGTTTTGTTTAATACAAACAAATAATTTAGTTTGTGAATGTTAGCAATGTATAATATYTAATCGTCTATTGCGTATGTTTCTAGATATAGAATTAATGATCAAATTAAAAAATACATTTCGTTTTTATTTTATTTTAATTGAAAGAGTYAACTTTAAATAATTATAAAATCAATACATATAATATAAAGTTGGTACCTATAATATTTATATTATAACTGTAGTAAACAGAACCTTATTTGTATGATAAAAATTATCTAGCAAATAATTGTAACTTACAATGTTTATTTTTTTTAAATAATGTATTATAGTTATATATATATAATATATATACATATATATATTTGTGAAACCTTATCTTCACTGAAATACATAGGAATAAACAAGGTTTTAAAAACATCCATAAAAAGTTGGTAAGTCGTGGATGTCACTCTGCTGCACAATAGATTACAAGTAGGTTACTGTAATGGATGGAATTAAATTTGAATTCAATGATGTAATATCATTGTATACGAAAAACGATTCTGAGTGGAGATGGTTTATCAATATAGGATATTATGTTATACTATATTAATTGACTATAATATATTAACTTTGTAAAAAGCTTACGATAAAATAATATTATAAGACTTGTAAACTGTAACTATATGAAATTAYATTTTAAATACCTATGTTACTATYAATAAGTATAAATATAAATTTATTTTGTTCTATATTTTGAAGAAATAATAGCTTATTCATGATTTTCATAATTTGAACGAGTAAGAATGAAAATCGATGGTGAAAATTTTTGTTTTCATTTTTTATATCATCGATAAATATTTTACTACAGTTAGTTATTATTATTCTGCTTTTGTCTATCTTACGTTAATAAATAAGCA